GGAGCTGCAGAGGAAGCACTGAGTGCTCCCTCGCGCGCCCGCCTGCCCGACCGGCCACCTGCCCGCTGGGGTCAGCAGGGCCAGCCTCGGGGGGCCCTGGGGTGGCCGCCTCCTGGGCCCCCCAGGGGAAGACGCTGGCCCTGTGGGTGCATACCAGGGTTGCAGCCGCGACCCTGCTATGTACGCCACTGCCCTAAGTGCATGGGCCACCCGGTGGGACGGGGAAAAAAATAAATTGATGAGGGCAGCGGGGCCCACGGGGCAGGTGCCTCGGGCCCCCCAAGAGAAACTGGGCCCGGGGCAGTTGCCCCGTTTGCCCCGCGTTAAAGACGGCCCTGAACGCAGCCATTCGTTTCGTTTTTCACTACAATCTTTATGTTCGGTTGTTTCCTTAAGCCATTTTATGAGAATTTGTTTCAAATTGGTTTTAAACATACGAATGATTAGGTTTAACCAGTTATTCTATACAGGGGATTCCTCCCCGTTCGGCAGTATGTGGCTCGCATGAGATTGTTCACGATTTTTAACCGTTTAGCCTGGTTGTTAAGTTAGATGCCCCTATTGGTTAGAAAGGATACTACAGTTACACTTTTATGCATGAATTGGGGCTGTAATGATAGAGATGGGTATTTATATAAGTTGACTTTTGTCTTGATGTCATTCCACATGAGACAAGGCTATATGTTGAGGGTAAAACAGGAACTTAGCAGTCTGAGGGTTTATTGTCTTATATGCAAGTTGTTACACAATGTTACCACCCATGTGGTTTTGTGGCGCAGCCAATCAAATACATTATAATACAGTTAAACACTCCCAGTTAGGACACACAAACCATCCCCTCTGCCTGTGATATAATTACTGTACACAATTGGTTAACTTAATTATCACAGGCAGGAAAATGCACAGTTTCATACAATATTCATAACTCCTAAACTATACATACAATCTCCATATTCTCCATATTCTGAATCAGCGTATTCCAAATGCAAAAATACTCAAAATTCATACAATTCCCTCCAGTGGTTTAAAAGTTAGATGGAAGTTCTTTTTGACCCACCGCAAGCATGGCTTTCCTGCCCAAAACAGTTCCATAGATTTGGGCTGTGCAGTCGATCAATTTTCTCCTCTGTCCTGGAGATAATTGGTAACTGTAGTAAACTCAATTATCTCCAGGTACAAAAAATATCAGTCACAACTGCAACAAAATACATTAAAATACATAACTAATATTCTATAGAACTGAACCCCCACATTTGACCTATCCCCAGATAGCTTGGATCTGCGCGCTCAATATAGCCAAACAGCCAGATCCCACGAACACTGTCAAATCGCCATGGGGTTAAACAATAGCAAGGACTGATGAGAGATTGAGGAGGGACAAAGCAGCCAGTTCCAACTGGTCTGGCAGTGTCCCTGGGACAACAGCCCTGCTGGAGAACAATGGGACAGGAAACGGGGGAGGGGAAGAGGCACACCTTCCCATGGATTCAAAGGGGCAGAAAAAGTGTCCCAAAATCCAATAAGCCCAAACAGACTTTTTAAATGGCAATACTTCCCAGGGGCCATAGTAACAAGGCAAGAGGCTGGCAAGCAGGCCTCTCCAAGAACAAGTGGCAAAGGGCACTTCGTCACAAGAGTTACTTAGTAGGTATTTAACTTTTCGCTTTCCTTAGGTGCCCTGATTATACAGACGGTTGCTTTACAAGCTCGACAAACCCGTCATCTGCCTCTGTCACATTGTCACCCCTCATCATAGTATCTGGTAGGTTACTTTATTTAATTTGGGCCCACGATCTGGCCCACTAACATATATCTATACGCACAGATACTCATTCATATCCTATCTACAGGTCGTAGCACGTTATTTACTGCCACCCTCTCGTTCATATTTCTGTACAGCATCTCGTCCTGACTCTAACTTTTTTAGGTATAACGCCATAACCCTGTACCTTTCTAGTTTTAGAGTGGTACTGGCTGTTTGAGATTTAGGTTGTCCAACTAGGTTCTGTTTTCCAGTCTAATTCCATAAACTAGTGGTCCCGCGAGGCCAACACCCATCCTCACACTTGGAGGTATACGTCCCTTGGCCCAAATCATGGTTAGCCGCCTTGCATGGTCGCATAAAGAGGGCCTCCCATGTCACTCCCTGTAACGGATCACCTGGCACCCCGACTGGGTACCTCCGTTGAAGGATGCTCCTAGCGCTTCCTGAGGACTCCAAGCACTGCAGCAGACACCACAACCACCGAATCGGACAAGCATATGAATGCTCTCAAGCATCTGAATGTTGTATACAGCTGATTAGGAAAAAACATGCGAATAGGTTTACACTCCTAGCAGTCAAACTGGAACAGCATACAATAAATCCTCCCCCAATAATGAGACGACACTTCACTTTGAGGGTTAAGCAGGAACTGACTGGACTGGCACATACAGCCTCTTTTATTCCCAATCCACAAATTAGTACTGCCCACAGGGTTTTACATAACAACCAATAACACACGTACATTACAGAAAGACACTCCCACACAAAATCCTCCCCTCTGGCTGTGATATGATTACTGAACACAATGGTTAATCTAATTATCACAGCCAGAGAAATACAGTTTTTCCACATTATTCATAACATGAAAAGTATGCATCACATTCACATAAAACTTAAATTTTCAGAATCAGCATACTCCAAATACAAACATACGTCAATATGTCATACATATTGGTCCAGTGGTTCAAAAGTTAAGGAAAAGTCCTATTTGACCAAATGCAGCATGGCTTTTCTGCCCAAAACCAGTTCCACAGAGTCTTCTATCCTGGAGATAATTGGGGAAGTAATCCAATTATCTCCAGGACAGAGGCAAAACTCCATTAGCCACATGGCAGCAAAAGACAATAAAACACATAAAAACATATAACTGCACAAAACAGGTACATTCAACATATCCCCAGATAGCTCAGATCTGAGCGCACATTATTACTGAATGGCGCTCAGAGCACACACATACAGTTCAATTGCCATGGAGTCTTTGCCAAAGTCTTTCCCATAGTCTTTCATTATACAAAATGCTCCATGGCATAGCTATCTGGGTAACACTGCTCACATAGGGAAAGTACCGAAAGACCCAGCTTTTGGGTCTTTGCAGGGGAAAATCCATCCTTTCAACATGGGGCCATAGTCACAGGGCAGGAGGCCGGCAATCAGTCTTCTCCAATGCCCAGTGGCGAGGCTGGTTCCGCCACATTTTTCCCCTTTCCCAAAAAGACTAACAAGGTATCTGGCCTCCTGTCGGTCAGTGCCTTGGTTAGTCCAGCAACCCACCCAAAAAACATAGTCAGTAGTGCAGCCCACCCACAATGAACAATTACTGTACCTGGGGTAGTGGGTAGCTTGTCCATGTCCAGGGGCTCCACCACAGGTCTGGGGAGTACTAGCCCTCCGGATCGGTGGGTTGCTGCGTGGGCCGAGACCAGCGGTACTCTGCCCTGGTGCCAGCGCTACCACGGGAGTAGCCTGGTTGAGGCTCAGCTGAGGAGAAGGGTTAACAGGCTCTTCTCCCTGCAATTCCCTCTCTTGTAGTGGGGAAAAACAAACTGCCTCCTCCTCCAATACATGGTCCTGTTGTTGGGGACCAGGACAGACTGCCCATATCTCCAGTGGTGCAGGTGCAGAGACCACGGTCCCATCTGCATTGTCGTGGGGCTTACTGTCTCCCCTTGGTGGGCTAGGCTGCCGCTGGGGGTCAGGACTGACCCTCCGTACTCCCTGTAGATTGGGCGCAGAGACCACGGTCCCATCTGCGCTGGTGAGGGGCTTAGTGTCTCCCCTTAGTGGGTTACGCTGCTGCTGGGGAGAGGGGGTAACAGGCTCCTCTCCCTGCGACACCCTCTCTTGTTGTAGGGTAAAACAAACTGCCTCCCCTACCAATACATTGCCCTGTTGTTGGGGACCAGGACAGACTGTCCATATCCCCAGTGGTGCAGGTGCAGAGACTACGGTCCCATCTGCACTGTTGTGGGGCTTACTGTCTCCCCTTGGTGGGCTAGACTGCCGCTGGGTAGAAGGGGTAACAAACTCCTCTCCCTTACACACTTTCAGCCGCTGGGGAGAGGGGGTAACAGGCTCCTCTCCCTGACGGTAGAGAGGGGGACCGACTGTCTCCCCTTCCAATAATGTGCTCTGCCGCTGGGGAGTGAAACCAGTGGCCTCTTCTCCCTGTAATGTACTCTGCCGCTGGGGATATGGGCC